GTTGTTGTCATTCGGTATGCTTCCAGTTTTTTTCAAAAGAGAAAGCCCAAATTTTCATTTATCTGTAATCTTTCTATTTTTAAACATGGGTAACTAATTTTCTTTTTTTCCTTTTTTTTTTTTTTTTTTTTTTTTTTTTTGAGACGGAGTTTTGCTCTTGTTACCCAGGCTGGAGTCCAATGGCGCGATCTCGGCTCACCGCAACCTCCACCTCCTGGGCTCAGGCAATTCTCCTGCCTCAGCCTCCTAAGTAGCTGGGATTACAGGCACGTGCCATCATGCCCAGCTAGTTTTTTGTATTTTTAGTAGAGACGGGGTTTCACCATGTTGACCAGGATGGTCTTGATCTCTCGACCTCGTGATCCACCCGCCTTGGCCTCCCAAAGTGCTGGGATTACAGGCTTGAGCCACCGCGCCCGGCCGGTAACTAATTTTAAAAGTTTGTATAAACAGTGTGGGCCAAAGAAAATGTGTCAAAGGTCAGATTTGGCCAACTGATCAACCATTTGCAGCCTTTACTTACTCCTTCATTAGTCTCATCCTTCCCACAACCAGTTACCTTCTTTCAAAATGAGTCCCAAATACAACATGTTTAAAACTGAATGTCTAAAATAAGTCTAAATTTCCCATCTCCCACCCCGAGTTGGGATCCTTTTCCAGTAATTGTTTTAATGGTACTTATTGTCATCAAATTGTACACGCCGGAAACCTTTGAACAGTCTTTACATTTCCCCTTTTCTTTATCCAATTCATCACTGTGTTTACTTAATTATATTCTAAGTATTTCTTCACTGTTAATTTCCCTTTATATATTTTTTGTTTGCCTGGAATACTGTGATACTCTTTCTGATTCCACCTTTGCCCTCAATACTTCATTCTCAAGATTGTAGTGACAGTGATATTTTCATAATCAAATCTGATCTTGTCATCACTCTGAAACATGTTCGGTGGCTTCTCACTGCCTTTAGGGTAACAGATAAAACCTTGGAGATCTACAGAATCTTGTGAAATCTGCCTTTTACACATTATCCCAGCCTCATTTCACAGCTAACTCTTCTTCCGTCTCTGTGCTCTAGTGTAGCAATTCTGAATGCTTTGGCATTAAAGGACCTACTGTAACTATAAAAATTATTAAAGACCCTAAAGGTGTTTCATTTATATGGGTTGTGTCTACCAATAGTTACTATACAACAAGTTAAAACTGAGAAAAATTTTAAGTTACTAGCTAATTTGACCAAGTGTGGTGGTCCACACTTGTAATCCCAGTGCTTTGGGATGCCAAGGTGGATGAGTCAGTTGCCCAGGAGTTAGAGACCAGCCTGAGCAATACAGTGAGACCCATCTCTTAAAAGAAAAACAGAAATAAACAGTTAAAACCTGTTACATGTTACCATAGTATAATTTTTATTTAAAAAAACCCAGCTATTTTATTTAACAAAAAACAATTTTATTAAGAAGTATGGAATTGTTTTATACTTTTGCCAATCTGTTTAAATCTCATAAATAGAAGATAACTATATTCTCACAACTGCTTCTGAATGCATCTTGATATGATACATTGTTCTGGTTGACATGTATGAAGAAAATCCAGCATCGTACAGATATAAGTTGGAAAAGGAAGGAGTATTTTATATTCTTTTCAGGTCATTATAGCTATTCTTTGAAATAGCTCCAAAACTGAACAAGTGGTACTTTCTGAAAGACTAGGTGCAATGTGGAATCTGAACCAACATCCATGAATTTTTCATATATTAAAATCTGTCAATCTTTTGAACACTATTGGTTCACTAAGTTATGCAGATCTATATTGACACTTTACATTGTGCAATATTTTAAAATATTATAACTTTTAGTGTCATAACTGACCTTATCAGAAGTTTTAGGAAGCCATCAAGCTCTTAGTGGTAGATAAAAGTTTTCCACAACTCGTAATTTCTGCCTGAAACTGTCTGCGAAATACCTAAATTAGATAACATAGTTTGCCATTCAGTCATTCTTTTTTTTTTTTGAGACGGAGTTTCGCTCTTGTTACCCAGGCTGGAGTGCAATGGCGCGATCTCGGCTCACCGCAACCTCCGCCTCCTGGGTTCAGGCAATTCTCCTGCCTCAGCCTCCTGAGTAGCTGGGATTACAGGCACGTGCCACCATGCCCCGCTAATTTTTTGTATTTTTAGTAGAGACGGGGTTTCACCGTGTTGACCAGGTTGGTCTCGATCTCTCGACCTCGTGATCCACCCGCCTCGGCCTCCCAAAGTGCTGGGATTACAGGCTTGAGCCACCGCGCCCGGCCTCATTCAGTCATTCTTTCAGGGAAAATGGTGGTCTCTGAAACAAGTGGTAGGTTCAGCTCACAACTCAAATGATTACATAGTGGTTTTCCTCAAGATGACTATCGTTCTTTGCTGTAAACAGAATTGTCTTACAAATATATCCAATTTCATTAACCCTGAATGTTAAAAAGACATTTTGGCCAGGCGTGGTGGCTCATACCTGTAATCCCAGCACTTGGGAGGCTGAGGTGGGCAGATCGCAAGGTCAGGAGTTTGAGACCAGCCTGGCCAACACTGTGAAACCCCATCTCTATTAAAAATACAAAAATTAGCCAGATGTGGTGGCACATGCCTATAGTCCCAGCTACTCAGGAGGCTGAGGCAGGAGAATTGCTTGAACCTGGGAGGTGGAGGTTACAGTGAGCCGACATTGCACCACTGCACTCCAGCCTGGGTGACAAAGTGAGACTGTGTTTCAAAAAAAAAAAAAGGCATTTCAAGGGTTGAAATCCAATGAAATTAATAATGTTTATGCTTCCTTAGACATTTTAAAATAAAACTGGCTTTTTTTTTTTTTAAACCAAGAGTACATAATGGGGAAGAATACAGTGACTGCTAGTAAGTTTAGTATCATTGTCTTGATTTGTGCTAAGTTGTTAGCAATTTTACCATTACTTTTACAACATCATTGAAAATGTTGAGACAATGAAAGAGGCAAGTAACACCTAAATGTTACTTCGAAAGGAGTTTTCAACTTACAGTTTCCCAGGGGTTCATAGACCATACTTGAAGATCTTTACCCCTACTTACCTATACAAGTCTTGTATCAATTTATGTTTTATTTATTTAACAAACACTATGCTATGTCAGAGTTTTAAGTGCTTCATAAATATTTGCATTTAATGCTCATTAATGTAGGTATTGCTAGCATTCCTTGTGAGATGGGTACTGTCATTGCCCCCTCTTACATGTAACGTAACTGAAGTAGAGAGGTTAAATAACTTACCCAGTATTACACAGATAGTAAGTGGCAGAACTGCAATTCACATCTTGCTTGTGAATGTTAAATTGAATTCTTTTTTCCTCTATGTGCATAGTGACTGTTTTTCCCCAGTGACTAGTTTGGAGCCCAGTACATGGAAAATATTCTATAAATATTTGTTGAATAAAATGAATAGAAGATGAATTGATGAAGGAATTGAATTTATTTGAGTGTATGAAATGAGTGACTCATCTAACTTAATTTTCTTCTAATAGTTAATCAGTTGCCATGGCATCACTGGAGAAACAAATTATGTTTTGTTCACTGACTGAAATATCACCATCATATTCTCTTTTATTCTTATATATGCTTTATTTCTGTATTTGCTCTTCTATTTTACTCCTCTGTTTATTTCTTTGAACTACACTGTTTAAAATATTTTATCTCAGCTGAGCACAGTAGCTCACACCTTTAATCCCAGCACTTTGGGAAGGCCAGGGGCAGATCACTTGAGGTCTGGAGTTTGAAACCACCCTGACCAAAATGGAGAAACCCTGTCTCTCCTAAAAATACAAAATTAGCTGGGCGTGGTGGCGCATGCCTGTAATCCCAGCTACTGGAGAGGCTGAGGCAGGAGAAGCACTTGAACCCAGGAGGTGGAGGTTACAGTGAGCCAAAATCACACCATTGCACTCCAGCCTGGGCAACAAGAATGAAACTCTGTCTCAGAAAAAAATAATAATTTCTATAAATCAGCTTTATATTTGATATAAAAATTCTACTATATTTATATTAGATATATTTAGAGAGGTTAAGTTCCCATCTCTGCCTTTTCTCCCCTGTTCTGATGTTTTTCCTATAGGTACCAATTTTTACTAGTTTTCCATTTATCCTTTTTTGTTTTTGTATTTGAAAATGTAACAAAATAGTGTATGAATTTGTACCCCCTTTTTTTGTTTTATAAAAAAGTAGCAAACTGTGCATGCTTATTTATATCTTGCTTTTTCTATTTAAGCTAATATATCCTGGTGGACACTTTATAGCAATATATAAAAATCTTTGTCATTTTTTAAGGAGTTGCATAGTACTCCATTGTATGTATTCACTATATGTTCAATCATTCCTGTATAGTAAGATATGTGAGATGTTATCAGTCTTTTGCTACCTCAATTAGTACTTCAATGAATAGCCTTGTGCATGTATCATTTCATATATTTGTCATTATGCCTTTAGGAGATCTTAGGAGATTTTTGATCAGGGAAATGTTACAAAAGCATTGTTAGGAAGATTAAACTGGCAATGGAATACATATTTGGATGTGAGTAGGATTGGAATATTGAAAATTTAGAAGCCATAACTGTACTCTACACTGAGATGGTTCTGTGCCTAGAAATTTATTACAACAAGTATGTCCACTATAAAATGTTGTTTTTCCCTATCCTGATCTATGTACTCATTGGCTGCTCATCCATGGATATATTGCTTTATCTTTATTGGCATCTCTGCTCTTACATTTCTTGTCATCTTTCCCATCTTCTGACTCTTCTGGATAGAATGTACTCATTTTCTCTGCATATTCTGAGCATTTGTTTCCCTCCATTTGTTTCTCTTTGCAAATCATCTACGAGTCAAATCCACTTGCTCCTTGAAGGCATGCTTTTCACTTTCATTAACTCTTACCTATTACAGAACTGCCTTTTTGTTGAGCACAGAAAACGAAGGAAATTTGCATTTCCAATGTCTTTCAGACATGAAGGCTAGACCAGAGAGCAAGGATTCAACTTCAGTGCAAGATTTTTCCAAAGCAGAATCATGCAAAGTTGCAATAATAGACAGACTGACAAGAAATAGTGTCTGTGACTCCAACTTGGAAGCAGCTCTTGAATGTGAAAATTGGTTAGAGAATCAGCAAGGAGATGGGGAGAGACATTTGAGAGAAATGTTCACTCACATGCATTCACTCTCTGAGGAAACAGACCATGAGCATGATGTGTATTGGAAAAGCTTCAATCAGAAGTCTGTCCTTATCACTGAAGACAGAGTTCCCAAAGGATCTTATGCCTTCCATACACTTGAAAAAAGATTGAAACAAAAATCAAACTTAATGAAAAAGCAGAGAACTTATAAAGAGAAAAAACCTCATAAATGTAATGATTGTGGTGAACTCTTCACCTACCATTCAGTGCTTATTCGACACCAGAGAGTCCATACTGGAGAGAAACCCTATACCTGCAGTGAATGTGGAAAATCTTTTAGCCACAGAGCTAATTTAACTAAACATCAGAGAACTCATACTAGAATTCTCTTTGAATGCAATGAATGCAAGAAAACCTTTACAGAAAGCTCATCCCTCGCAACACATCAGAGAATTCACATTGGAGAGAGACCTTATGAATGCAATGAATGTGGGAAAGGTTTCAATCGAAGTACACATCTTGTGCAGCATCAGTTGATTCATACTGGAGTGAAGCCTTATGAATGTAATGAATGTGATAAGGCTTTTATTCATTCATCAGCACTCATTAAACATCAAAGAACTCACACTGGAGAGAAACCTTATAAATGTCAAGAATGTGGGAAAGCCTTTAGCCATTGCTCATCCCTAACTAAGCATCAGAGAGTTCATACTGGAGAAAAGCCATATGAATGCAGTGAATGTGGAAAAACGTTTAGTCAGAGCACACATCTTGTTCAACATCAGAGAATTCATACTGGAGAGAAACCCTATGAGTGTAGTGAATGTGGGAAAACCTTCAGCCGGAGCTCAAATTTTGCTAAACATCAAAGAATTCATATTGGAAAGAAACCATACAAATGTAGTGAGTGTGGAAAAGCCTTCATTCATTCATCAGCTCTTATTCAACATCAGAGAACACACACCGGAGAGAAACCCTTTAGATGTATTGAGTGTGGGAAAAGCTTTAAGTGCAGTTCATCTCTCATCAGACATCAAAGAGTTCACACTGAAGAGAAGCCCTAAAAAGTTACTGAATGTGAAAAAATGTAAGTTGGTTTTATCACTGTGTTAAGTACTTGATTGTTTAGGTGGAAGACCCATCCATAATATGCATGTGAGGACCAATTCTCTATGCATCTAATTTCATTTATAATGCATAGTTTTGAGCCATAGACAGGTTTCTTATGTGCATTAATTTGATAATTATAAAATTTAGCCAGCAATTTTAAAATTTTAATCTCCAACCTCTCAAATAGCTATTTGTGGAAATTCAAGAAGTCCCTGAGAGTGGGTAGCAGTACAAACATTGTAAATTCTAGTTTTCCCCACTCTGGGTTATGTCAGAGCTTTGTTGTAGCCTCTCACTTTGTAAGGAAATTCTTACTGGGTAGGTTAGGTTGAGGGCTTATATCCTTATCAGGAAGACATAGTGTTGTTATTTATTACTCTATGAGTCCCAAGTAGAGATCTAGATATGCATATGGTGTAATTCCTCCAGACTGTCATTTCTTTTATATTAGCCATAAAAAAAAACAAAAAGGCAGGGTTGAAAGTCATTAGGATTCTCTTCCTCTCCCAACAAGTTGCTGTCCAATTTGATGACTGTAACTAGGATGTATAATATTTACAGATCATTCTAAGTTATGTTCACATGGATTATGTTCATTATTGATTTATATCATTGTTATCCCTCTACTATGGTAACCTTCTTTGATTTGCCTGACCAATATGTTGAGACCCCGTTTCTACCAAAAATACAAAAACTAGTCAGACATGGTGGCATGCAGCTTTAGTCCCAGCAATTTAGGAGGCTGAGACAGGAGAATTGCTTGAATCCAGGAGACAGATTGCAGTGAGCTGAGATCATGCTATTGCACTCCAGCCTGGCTGACAGAGCAAGACTGTTGCAAAAAAAAAAAAAAAAAAAAAAAAAAAAAAGGAACTCACCTCTTTTATCACCTTAGTCTTCAATACTAATGGTTTAGAACAGGAATTGACAATCTGTGGTATGAACTCATGGGCCAACTCTGGCCCACCACCTATTTCTCAGAACATTTTATTGGAATTCAGTCATACTGACTCATTTACATGTTGTCTTTGACTGCTTTTGTGTCCTATGGCAGAATTGAGTAGCTACAGCAGAGATAGTGCCTTTGGGCTTTAATATCACAAAAAGGGCAGCTTATAAACAACAGAAAATTACTTCTGACAGTTTTGGAGGATGGGAATTCCAAGATCAAGATGCCAACAGATTTAGGGTCTAGCGAAGTTCTGCTTCTTGGTTAAATTACCTTTCACTGTGTCTTCTCATGGTAGAAGGGGAGAGCTCTGGTATTTTCAGCCCCTTATAAGGGCACTAATCCCATTCATGAGAGCTCTACCCTTATGACCTAATCACCTCCAAAAGGCCACATTTCCTAATATCATCATAGAATTAAGTTTCATCATATAACTTTGGTAGAGATATAGCCCATAGTAGGTTGTATTGTCTCCAAAAGCCTAAAATATTTACTATTTCACTGTTTACAGAAAATATTTGCTGACCTCTGTTCTAGAGCATTCATCAAGAAGTGGGATAGAAGGTTTAAACCAGTCAGAGAAATTAGGTGGAATGGAAAAATTGAACTTATCAAGAGATAAGTGGGGTCAGATAAATAAAAGAGATGGGAAATGATGCATCAAAATACTTCTCACTCTAGGATGTTACTATGCATTGTCAAGAAAATTCAAGTTATTGAAATTTGCCAAATTCTTGAGTGAAAAGAAATTCATTTGAGGCCCAAAATTTGACTAAGGAAGGAAGACCAACATGGGCTTTCCAGAGTTGAGTATGAATTCTGCCACTCCCACTAGGCAGTCTTGTGACTTTGAAAAACTCCCTACTCTGAGTCTCAGTTTCTTTATCTGTATTAGGTTTCAACAAAGGAAATACATCATTGGCCTCTCATAAGGTTGTCATAAGGATTAAAGGAACTGGCAGACAATAAATAAGAATCCCCCACTCCTACTTGGTGCTCTCTTTCTCTCTCCTTGTCTCCATAGAGAAGTGGCTGAGCATGCATCAGTAGAAGTTACTTAAGGGGTGGGTGTGTTTTCCACATCTTTTGTTTATCCATGAAGAACTGTGATCATCCTGTTCTCTCTGGCTTATCGTAAAGATGGGACTTTACTTCTTTCTGCTCTTGCATCCATCTGGTGCTGTTCTCTACACAGCCTCCTTGAGACCTTCCAGAACCATTTTTTTTCCTACTGAGTATCACTTAACCAGTAGCTACTTGGGATGTTTCCAGAGGCTGAAGTTTGCAGTTGAATAGCATTTTAAATAGCGTTAAAGGGCTTGAGATTTCTGGCCCTTTGCATGTCATTATTTGTCCCTTTTTATGCCTGATGTTTAACTTGCCACATGTTTGTACTGCAACATGAATCGTGGACATTTTAACGTTCGGCATTTCAAATGTTTTTTATTATCTATGAACTAAATGTGCTCTTATTGGCTCACTTGTCAATAAAGATGTTTGTATATGTATTGTCTGAAACTTTTGTTAATTGCTTTTAAATATTTCTTTTTTAAAGCATATTTTAAAACCAACCTACAATGTAATAAAGGACCAACCATAAAATATTTCCGTATCATTCAGGATACCAATCCCATTTTTAGTTGTTCATCTGGCTTCACAACTTCTGGAATGATGGGATGGGAGATACCCTCAGCAGCCGTGAGTATCTGCAAGAAGGTTAAGCAGTAGAGGAAGGTAGTGTCTAATAAGTAGTGCTGAATTCCCAGGCCAGGTATAGGCACCACTCAGTAGGGCTAATTGAGGGGGAAGGAAGGAATGAAATTTGTATAAAAAACACACTTAAAATTAGGCAAAATGGGCCAGTGCAGTAGCTCACGCCTGTAATCCCAGCACTTTGGGAGGACGAGGTGGGCAGATCACCTGACGGCGGGAAGACCAGCCTGACTAACATGGAGAAACCCTGTCTCTACTAAAAATACAAAGTCAGCTGGTCATGGTGGCGCATGCCTGTAATCCCACCTACTCGGGAGGCTGAGGCAGGAGAATGGCTTGAACCTGGGAGATGGAGGTTTCAGTGAGCTGAGATCATGCCATTGCACTCCAGCCTAGGCAACAAGAGTGAAACTCTGTCTCAAAAAAAAAAAAAAAAAAAAAAAAACTATTATTGTCTTAAATATTAGGCAAAATGTGGTAAAAATCTGATTTTGTGTAAGTTTTTAATTCTATCTGGTTTGGGGGAAGACAATGTAATACCACCCAAAATGTAAAAATGATAATGTAAGAATACTAAACATCATTCAAATTGATTGACAGTTAACTAGATCAATTATCTATTAAAAGTCTCTCAATTTTCATTTTCTTAGATGTGTTCTCACTTTTAAAAATATGTGTTTATTAGAAGATGACTCAGGTTGGAAGCTTGCTTTCTTTCCTTCCTTGTGTAATTCTTTCTAGACCCCAACTAGCCAGTCTTGGGACCCAGAGCCATATGAGCTGTCCCTCTCCATAAGTTTTACTGACAAGGCAGAAGAGAATTCCCTTCTGTAGTCTGTATTCTGTAGTAATATACAGTATTCTGTAGCAACATACAGGGGAATACCCTGCTGCCTTGTCAATAAAACTTATGGAGAGGGACATTATATGTCTTTTATATATATAATATATGAATATGTAATATATTTATATGAATATATTCATATATATATACACATATACATACATATATATAATGAAAAGCATAACAGCACAAAGCACAAAACCATGTTCTGATGAGACAATCTCTACTGTTTGGGCAGATTACACAGAAGGTAAAGAATGATAGGCCGGGCGCGGTGGCTCAAGCCTGTAATCCCAGCACTTTGGGAGGCCAAGGCGGGTGGATCACGAGGTCAAGAAATCGAGACCATCCTGGTCAACATGGTGAAACCCCGTCTCTACTAAAAATACAAAAAAATTACTGGGCATGGTGGCGCGTGCCTGTAATCCCAGCTACTCAGGAGGCTGAGGCAGGAGAATTGCCTGAACCCAGGAGGCGGAGGTTGCGGTGAGCCGAGATCGCGCCACTGCACTCCAGCCTGGGTAACAAGAGTGAAACTCTGTCTCAAAAAAAAAAGAATGATCTTTCCCTTTCTCTTGTTGAACAAACTATCACTTAAGTGAAGAGAACAAAAGTTTAATATTTTTAAATGTAATATTTTGTATTAAAGATTTCACAAAGATTTTAATGAATAAACCCGTCAAAATCAAGCCAGCTTTTGTCAGAATTTTAATACATTTTATTTCTTCATTCTGGTATTCACAGCTATTAAAAAGCACACGTTCACTTTCACCCAAACCTTCTAAAACTTCCAGCATCCTCTCTGGTTTTGTCCTTTACTATCTTTTATATTCTGAAACAAGCACACATTTCACTCTAAGAGAAAAAATAGTCCTGTTTTCTTTTGATAAAAACATCACATTTTCTTTTATACATGTTTGGGGATCCCCAAGACCACCCCCAGTTTCAATGATTCACTGGAAAGATTCACAGGACTCAGCATATTGTCATTCGCTTGGCTGTGGTTTACCGCAGTGAAAGGACACACAGCAAAATCAGTAAAGTGAAAAGGCTCATGGGGCAAGGTCTGGAGGAAACAAGGCACAAGCTTCCACGAGTCCTCTCCCAGTGAAGTCACAGGAGACTTGCTGTGTTCCCCCAGCAACGAGTTGTGACAGCATGTGTGAAATGTGGTCTATCAGGGATGCTCAGTAGAACCTCAAAACCCAAGGTTTTTATTGGGTGCTAGTCACATAAGCACTCTCTGTCTAGCATGTACCAAAATGCCAGACTTCCAGAAGGAAAGCAGGTGTTCAACATAAATGGCATTGTTTTTACAGGCAGTTTAGGAGCAGTGATCCACTCATCAATTCTGGGATTTGTGGGAACAATCCCGAAGTTACAGTTCCCAGATGCCAGCCAGTGGCCAACCTTGCAAGCAAGTCTTTCTAAAGACAGCAGGCTCGGGCTTGCTGTGTTAACTTTTCTGCACTATTTTGTATTTTCATACAGCCTCATAGCCACTCATATTAATCACAGATTTGCTAACCAAAGAAATTAACTGGGATCTAGGTAATCAGAACTCTCTACTGTAGACAGGCAACTTAGCAAATAAGCAAAACTCACAAACACATAAAATAACCTCCTGCAGCCACACATCCCTTTTACACCTTAGCACACACATTTCCTAGCTGAGTCTAGGAGAATGGCTTGAACCAAAAGCAATAACACCTCAGTTTCAATGAGCTCAGATCTTGGTTTCTGATACCACTTTCTACTAAAAGGAACCAAGGCTCCTCAGAAAAGTGGCTGATTCCAGGTCTGAGAAAAAGAAACTCCATGAAGATCCTGGAACATCTATTTCAGGGAGAAAAAAAAAAAAATAGTACTCAAAGAAATGAGGGTAGGTCACAAAGACACAGGAAGAACAATTTGAGCAGCAAAGCAAAACGAGGACGAATTGCAAGCCATTGAAAAAGTAGTTCATGAGTTCACATTGATAGTAAGTAAATAAATGAGCGTTAACAGAGGACCCTTGCTTACAGCAAAATACCTGATACCAACATGTAAAGGCAAAGGAAATTTTGGAGCTGGAAAACTATCATTTTGTAGCCATAACACTAAACACTGATTCAAGCAAGAATCATCAATAGGTGCTAAATCTAAGGGGAAATTTTGATGAGGAACAGGGTATTTGATTAGAATTCAAATATCTTTTCCAGAGATT